TCATTCAAGGGTTTTTATTTATTTTTACTATTGTTTACATTGTAGAATAATAGTGAAGACATTTAAACAATGATGAACACACATGGAATCATGTAGTAACCAAAAAGGTGTTATACAAATCAAAATATATTTTATATTTGAGATTCTTCAAATAGCCACCCTTTGCTTTGATGACAGGTTTGCACACTCTTTGCATTCTCTCAACCAGCTTCATGAGGTAGTCACCTGGAATGCATTTCAATTAACAGGTGTGCCTTCTTAAAAGTTAATTTGTAGAATTGTTTTCCTTCTTAATGCATTTGAGCCAATCAGTTGTGTTGTGACAAGGTAGGGGGGTATACAGAAGATAGCCCTATTTGGTAAAAGACCAAGTCCATATTATGGCAAGAACAGCTCAAATAAGAAAAGAGAAACGACAGTCCACGGAACATTTCAAGAACTTTGAAAGTTTCTTCAAGTGCAGTTGCAAAAACCTTCAAGCACTATGATGAAACTGGCTCTCATGAGGACCGCCACAGGAATGGAAGACCCAGAGTTACCTCTGCTGCAGAGGATAAGTTCATTAGAGTTACCAGCCTCAGAAATTGCAGTCCAAATAAATGCTTCACAGAGTTCAAGTAACAGACACATCTCAACATCAACTGTTCAGAGGGCACAGTGTGAATCAGGCCTTCATGGTCGAATTGCTGCAAAGAAACCATTACTAAAGGACACCATTAAGAAGAAGAGACCTGCTTGGGCCAAGAAACACGAGCAATGGACATTAGACCGGTGGAAATTTGTCCTTTGGTCTGGATTCCAAATTGGAGATTTTTGGTTCCAACCGCCGTGTCTTTGTGAGATGCGGTGTGGGTGAACGGATGATCTCCGCATGTGTAGTTTCCACCGTAAAGCATGGAGGAGGAGGTGTTATTGTGTGGGGGTGCTTTGCTGGTGACACTGTCTGTGATTTATTTAGAATTCAAAGCACACTTCACCAGCATGGCTACCACAGCATTCTGCAGCGATATGCCATCCCATGTGGTTTGGGCTTAGTGGGACTATAATTTGTTTTTCAACAGGACAATGACCCAACAAACCTCCAGGCTGTGTAAGTGCTATCAGATGACCTGGCCTCCACAATCCCCTGACCTCAACCCAATTGAGATGGTCGGATGGCAGAGGGAAGGAAAAGCAGCCAACAAGTGCTCAGCATATGTGGGAACTCCTTCCAGACTGTTGGAAAAGCATTCCATGTGAAGCTGGTTTAGAGAATGCCAAGAGTGTGCAAAGTTGTCATCAAGGCAAAGGGTGGCTAAAATATATTTCAATTTTTTAAACACTTTTTTGGTTACTACATGATTCCATATGTGTTATTTCATAGTTTTGATGTCTTCACTATTATTCTACAATATAGAAAAACCCTTGAATGAGTAGGTGTGTCCAAACTTTTGACTGGTACTCTAGGTCCTGGATGGCAGGAGCTTGGCCACAGTGATGTACTGGGCCGTACGCACTACCCTCTGTAGCGCCTTATGGTCGGATGCCGAGCAGTTGCCATACCAGGCGGTGATGCAACCGATCAGGATGCTCTCGATGGTGCAGCTGTATAACTTTTTGAGGATCTGGGGAACCATGCCAAATCTTTTCAGTCTCCTGAGGGGGAAAAGGCGTTGTTGTGCCCTCTTCACGAATGTCTTGGTGTGTTTGGACCATGATAGTTTGTTGGTGATGTGGACACCAAGGAACTTTAATCTTTTGACCCTCTCCACTACAGCCCCATTGATGTGAATGGGGGCCTGTTCGTGCCTCTGTTTCCTGTAGTCCACGATCAGCTCCTTTGTCTTGCTCACATTGAGGGTGAGGTTGTTGTCCTGGCACCACACTGCCAGATCTCTGACCTCCTCCCTATAGGCTGTCTCATCGTTGTCTGGGATCAGGCCTACCACTGTTGTGTCGTCAGCAAACTTAATGATGGTGTTGTGGGTGAACAGGGAGTACAGGAGGGGACTAAGCAATCACCCCTGAGGGGCCCCAGTGTTGACGATCAGCGTGGCAGATGTGTTCTTGCCTACCCTTACCACCTGGGGACGGCCCATCAGGAAGTCCAGGATCCAGTTGCAGAGTGAGGTGTTTAGTCCCAGGGTCCTTAGCTTAGTGATGAGCTTTGTGGGTGCTATGGTGTTGAACGCTGAGCTGTAGTCAATGAACAGCATTCTCAGATAGGTGTTCCTTTTGTCCAGGTGGGAAAGGGCAGTGTGGAGTGCGATTGAGATTGTGTCATCTGTGGATCTGTTGGGGCGGAATGCGAATTGGAGTGGGTCTAGGGTTTCCGGGATGATGGTGTTGATGTGAGCCATGACCAGCCTTTCAAAGCACTACATGGCTACCGACGTGAGTGCTACAGGGCGGTAGTCATTTAGGCAGGTTACCTTCGCTTTCTTGGGCACAGGGACTATGGTGGTCTGCTTGAAACATGTAGGTATTACAGACTCAGTCAGGGGGAGGTTGAAAATGTCAGTGAAGACACTTCCAGTTGGTCCGTGCATGCTCTGAGTACACGTCCTGGTAATCCGTCTGGCCCTGCGGCCTTATGAATGTTGACCTGTTAAATGTCTTGCTCACATCGGCTACGGAGAGCGTGATCACACAGTCGTCTGGAACAGCTGGTGCTCTCATGCATGCTTCAGCGTTGCTTGCCTCGAAGTGAGCATAAAAGGCATTTAGTCCATCTGGTAGGCTCGTGTCACTGGGCATCTCGCGGCTGGGTTTCCCTTTGTAATCCGTAATAGTTTGCAAGCCCTGCCACATCCGACGAGCGTCAGAGCCGGTGTAGTAGGATTCAATCTTAGTCCTGTATTGACGCTTTGCCTGTTTGATGGTTTGTCTGAGGGCATAGCGGGATTTCTTATAAGCGACCAGATTAGTGTCCCGCTCCTTGAAAGCGGCAGCTCTAGCCTTTAGCTCGGTGCAGATGTTGCCTGTAATCCATGGCTTCTGGTTGGGATATGTACGTATGGTCACTGTGGGGATGACGTCGATGCACTTATTGATGACGCCGGTGACTGAGGTGGTATACTCCTCAATGCCATTGGATGAATCCCGGAACATATTCCAATCTGTGTTAGCAAAACAGTCCTGTAGCGTAGCATTCTCGTCATCTGACCACTTCCGTATTGAGCGAGTCATTGGTACGTCCTGCTTTAGTTTTTGCTTGTAAGCAGGAATCAGGAGGATAGAGTTATGGTCAGATTTGCCAAATGGAGGGTGAGGGAGAGCTTTGTATGCGTCTCTGTGTGTGGCGTAAAGGTGGTCTAGAGTTTTTTTTTCTCTGGTTGCACATGTGACATGCTGGTAGAATCAGGTAAAACTGATTAAAGTGTGCCTGCATTAAAGTCCCCAGCCACCAGGAGCGCCACTTCTGGATGAGCATTTTCTTGTTTGCTTATGGCCTTATACAGCTCGTTTATTGCGGTCTTAGTGCCAGCATCGGTTTGTGGTGGTAAATAGACGGCTATGAAAAATATAGATGAAAACTCTCTTGGTAGATAGTGTGGTCTACAACTTATCATGAATTACTCTACCTCAGGCGAGCAATATCTCGAAGACTTCCTTAATGTTAAACATTGCACACCAACTCTTATTGACAAATAGACACACACCACCAACCCTCATCTTACCTGGATGCAGCTGTTCTGTCCTGCCGATGCACGGAAAACACAGCCAACTGTATATTATCTGTGTCGTCGTTCACCCACGACTTGGTGAAACATAAGATATTACAGTTTTTAATGTCCTGTTGGTAGGATAGTCTCGAACGGAGCGCATCCAGTTTATTCTCCAGTGATTGCACGTTGGCCAACAGAACTGATGGTGGAGGCAGGTTACCCACTCGCCAACGAATTCTCACAAAGCACCCCAATCTCCGCCACCTGTACCTCCATCTTTTCTTCACGATAATGACAGGGATTTGGGCCTGGTCTCCGAGAAGCAGTATATTAAAGAACAAATATTCTTCCAGTTCAAGGTGAGTAATTGCTGTTCTGATATCCAGAAGCTCTTTTCGGTCATAAGAGACGGTAGCAGCAATATTATGTACAAAATAAGTTACAAACAATGCTAAAAAACACACAAAATAGCACAGTTGGATTCAGGGCCATAAAATGGCAGCCATCCTCTCCAGTGCCATTCTCTCCATATGACGTAGCTATTTAAAATTAGCAGTGAAATGTATAAATACCCAGACCAGATGGGGTTGGAGTTGTACAATGCTTCCCAGCTCAATACGTTCACTCTGTTTCTAGTTTATTGTGTTGGTTTTAATGGATTTTATTACCACAACACTGACGATGAGGACGAGAAGGCTATTTTAAAGATACAATACAGGCAGGGAGGATGTTGTTACTGACCTTTCTGTCCATTACAGAAATTCTCGTCCATGGTCTTCATGGCAGTCATTTGTCCCCGACGACACCCACTAGTAGTTTGATTTGCCTAATTGCTTCCAGAAAGGCGGTATTTTTGGTCGCCATGACGCAAGCTAGGAGCAGAAATACAGTAATTAGACCACTGGAACCGGAATCAGAGAGAGAGAGGGGGCTAGAGAGAACGATAGAGGGGGGGAGAGAGAGAGGGGGGGGGGGAGAGAGAGAGAGAGAGAGAGAGAGAGAGAGAGAGAGAGAGAGAGAGAGAGAGAGAGAGAGAGAGAATAAAATATAGATATCTTATTGAGGTGGAGGGTAACTTTTACGGATGAAAAAGCATCACTATCCTCTGTGGCTTAGAGACAGCCTGCAGATGCCCTGTGTGTTCATAAACCTCCACAGAAAACTAGTTGTTTTGCTCTATAAAAGCAGCATTAGCAGCGCAGGCGACTGGGGAGCTGTCCACTACTGTGGTGCTGAAACGAGGCGCACTTTTAATGAATAGCTATTGCCACTCTCTCACAGTAATGTAATGGCAACACTGACTGAATTAATCGATAACTAAAATTGCAGACGGTGTCATTTACTATCTGCACAATGCGTAAGTCGGATTCAGCCATATATAATGAGGTTGGGTTTGTTGCGCTGTAAATGATTGTCTGACGGACAGAAGAAATTAGGCTATTTTTATAATGTAGCTTTAAGGTGAATCCACGGAAACACCACAGATATATGTGTCAAAATAGATGACCAGCTATGACACCTGAATGAAGCCATTACAGCAGCATCCAGCTGTGCGCATATAGCCGTGAGGCAGGCTGGGCTGGGAACGCCCGGGTGGAATCGTATGTGGGAGGGAGGATGGGAAAGGGAGGGAAAATTAGGTAGGTGGAGTAGAGAGAGTAGTAGTGTAGTGTAGAAACCGCTTTCTCTCTCTTCAGTCTCCGGTCCACACAGTCTGCTCATCAACCGATGGAGTAGAGCTCCTCTTGACACGCAGAGAGCAGGTCACCAGGTTACTCCCCTATGATGCGCTGCCTGCTGTTACCGTGAGCGGTATCAGCTGTAGCTAGCGCGGCAGAGCGGCAGGTCGCTTCCAGGGTCTCCCCAGCCTAAACGGCACTATCTATGGATAGTTCGCCAAAGTGCGCTTCTTCAGAGGGCTGTTGGTGTCCGGTTTCCCTGAATCTCTCTCTCTCTGTCACTCCCTGGCTGGCTCTCTCAGTGTTATCGCGACCCACCGGGAGTTTGGAGACGACACAATCACCACCCAACACGCGCTCGACCGGGGCCAGGCTGTGCGAGTCACGGATCGCTCCCGAGCCGCCCTGCGCGCTCGCCCTCGCGCTCGCCCCTATGGAGGGGGACGTGATGGACAAGCTGGAGGACATGGCCTCGGTGTACGAGTTCGACCCGATCACCGGGAACATCCCCGCCACTAAAGTAGAGCTCACCGTCTCCTGCAGGTGAGCTGTTAACCCCAGTGGACCAGGGAGCCTTTCATTTTCAGTTGCTATTTTCTTATCCTTAGTAGTCAGTTGTGTGCGCAGAATAGAAACAATGTCCACTTGTTTGAATATCCCAAGGTTTTTTGTGTGTGCTGAGTGAGTACTGTGATGTTTGGCAACACCTTTAAAGTACACACACTTCGTATTAAATTTGATAACGAACAACACTCAGCAAGTAGTCTTCAACTTCTATTGAGTCCTATCTGGCCATGCGTTATGGTAAGGGGATATAGAGATATATAACATGGATAGGGGAGATTCTCTGACAGTGGCGGGGTTTTTGGGTGTGAACCGCTATATCTGCAAGGTAGGCTGCGGCTGAATAATACAAGATAGGGAGTTGTCGGTATCGCAGCATTGGAATGCAGTTCTTCAACTGCATCCTTGCTATTTAGTTATTTTTTGTGGGGGAGGGGTCCCAAAGATATTGGTAGAGTTCTTCTTCACATCAGTTGTTTTTATTAAGGGTCAATTCTTTGAGTGAGGAAAGTTACACTTGGATTGAAAAAAATGAGAGGCATCTACACTGGTAGAATTCTCCTCTTTATTGTCTATGATGTAGGTCATTTTCAGTCTGCATACAGATGTGGGATCTTCATTTGAGACACTTTGCTACAGCAGGAAAATAATCCTGCAGCAACAGGAAATGTGAATTATTATGTGGATTATAATTAATGGACACTTTTGTAGGGTTTGATACACTTTTCGTAAGGGAAAATCTGGTCTGAAATTTCAAAGTGGAAATTACGAACTTCAGAATCCTATTTAAACCTCAAGTACACCACACATTTGACATTTCCTGCATTACAGAAAAGTTATCCTGCAACAGGGTGATCAAATTAAGCTCCGACATCTGTACATTACTCCCCATCCAGCCACTCTTTAGAAACATTAGCTAGCTGGATTAATCATTAATAGATCAGCTGCACTGTGTGATCCTGTATTGGCTAATGATGTTGTTGTTGTTGATGGTGCTGAATGATCCCATACTCCAGTGTATATTAGAGCACAGGTTGTAGGACTCTGTGCATTTTGATGCACCCTCAGTGTATGTGTGGTATTTGTGGATGTGGGTGTGTCTGTAAGTCTGTGAGATAAGTGATGCGAGAAACCACTTGAGTCCACAACGCTGTGTGTGTGTGTGTGTGTGTGTGTGTGCGTGTGTGTGTGTGTGCGTGTGTGTGTGTGTGTGTGTGCGCATGTGCATTTTTTGTGCATATTGTCATGTCTATTTTAGATGAGTGATGTGTTCCTTCCTTCCTTCCTTCCTTCCTTCCTTCCTTCCTTCCTTCCTTCCTTCCTTCCTTCCTTCCTTCCTTCCTTCCTTCCTTCCTCTTCCTTTTCCTTCCCTTCCTTCCTTCCCCTTCCTTCCTTCCTTCTTCCTTCCTTCCTTCCTTCCTTCCTTCCTTCCTTCCTTCCTTCCTCATGTGTGTTATTTCAGAGTCACTCAAATTGATCTGTTTGTTCTTGTCCCACCTAGATATCTTAAGATGAATGCACTAAATGTAAGTCTTTCTGGATAAGAGCGTCTGCTAAATGACTAAAATGTAAATGTAAACGTTAAAAGATGAAAGCTGTGCATCACATTCATACTGTCTCTTCTCTGCTCTCCGCTGCGTCCCCCGCCTCCCTCTTACTCTCTGATTCTCCCGCCGTGCTTCTGTGATTACCAACTATTACCAACCATTACTGACCATTACCAACCATTACCAACCATTACCAACTATTACCAACCATTACTGACCATTACCAACCATAACCAACCATTACCGACCATTACTGACCATTACTGACCATTACCGAACATTACCAACCATTACCGACCATTACCAACTATTACCAACCATTACCGGACATTACCAACCATTACCAACCATTACCAACCATTACCAACCATTACCAACCATCCCCTTCTCCCTGTAGTCTCCTCACCTCCCTTTCCATCTCTAACCAGATCCCATCCAGTGACACAGCTAGGCTGTATTGACAAACAGAACCAGTCACTGCCTCTGACTCTGGTTGCCTGTGAGGAGCTAGAAAACTCAAGGCTAAGTCCCCCACACACACACCCTTCTCTCTGCTCCTCTTTGAAGGGCTGTTGTAGAGCAGTGGGGGCCTGCTGAGACGGTTAACAAGACTCTACTGTATTATTGAACACTGGGAGGGTCGGTTGCACTGCTACATCTTTTACTGCATCCCTCTGAGGTAAAATGTCCAGAGTACCTTGAGAACGGCAGCAGCTGAAACATTGGAGCTGCCTGATTACAGTATATTGAATTCAATAATACATGGAACATTATATGAAACAAGAACACGTGTGTTTGTTTTTATGTGTGCACGCTATCTTCTACATAGAGGTAAAACACCGTATGCACAATGCCTCAGAGTAGGAGTGCTGATCTGGAATCAATTTGACCTTTTAGATCATACTGAATACAATGATATGGACAGGGAGGATCCTAGATCCTAGACACTCTAAGACACTTTATGAATATGAAAAATAAGTGGCTTTGATTCGCTTTAATGCACTCTCCATTTTCATCTATTTGTTAGCTGAGGCACACTTAACACTTGAAGTTAACAAAGAGAGTTCTGGAGAGATAGAGGTGGCACCCACCCACACAGATTTTAGAGAGAGTTTAAAAACAAAAGTGTGATCACGTGCAATTTGATCTCATTGTGCTCAATGATCTCGTTCAGCGTTTGGTGTCATTCATTCAGCTAAATAAGTAGTTGGATTCAGACACAGGGTTTCAGGGTTTTTCAATGGCAACTTGTCTCTTCCTGATGCATGGTTGTGTATTGGTGAATCGTTTATTTCAGTGACGGTATGTGTGATTGTACAGGTGTGGGTGTGTTTACCCATTGGTTGTATTCTTCAGTGAGTGACAGAGCGCACGTGTGGGTGTTCACTCAGTCATAGGTTCAGTGTTCAATATGTGAATGGAATTTATTTGATCATGTTCCTTTTATATGGCCCACATGATCAAATAGCATTTTTACACACAGTTCTATAACGACCGTGTAATATGCACGGCTACCGGGACATTTATGGTGCAAAGCGATTCTTTCACCTTGAAATGTAATTTCTCCACCCCTGTGTCACCAAACGACACATTCATTCCATTGAAAATTCCACCAAATCTGTACATTCCACATGGCATCATACATCAATCTGTCACGCATCTCAAGTCTTTCCACATCCAACCAGTTAACAGTTTAAGGCATTACAAATCTATGTGAATGGCTTTTGTTAAGGCCGTTGCCGGATGCATTATGAGTCAGAATGGCAGTGAATGAAATACATTCATGGTGTATTACTGGTAGGGCTCCAATACTGCTCCACACTGGTCCTGTTGACAACGTACTGTACTCTACCATAGGTAATACACTGGTCCTGTTGACAACATACTGTGTAGTCATCACAACAGGTGGTTCTTTGAGACACCTGAATGATTAAGAACAAGCTAGCATTAAAATCAGATTTAAAAAAAACACCTCACGGCACAACACGGACTGTGATGAGACATGCACGCACAAACACACACACACACACACACACACACACACACACACACACACACAAACACACACACACACTAGAACACACACCCACACATTGTAGAGAGAGAACGAGATAGAGAGAAAGCAAGAGAGAGAGAGAAAGAGAGAGATATACTCAGAGAGAGAGAGAGAAAGAGAGGGAGAGAGAGTAAGAGAGTGATAGATACACAGAGAGAGAGAAAGAGAGAAAGAGAGAGAGAGATACTCAGAGAGAGAGAAAGAGAGATACTCAGAGAGAGAGTAAGAGAGAGAGAGATACTCAGAGAGAGAGAGAGATACTCAGAGAGAGAGATACTCAGAGAGAGAGAGATACTCAGAGAGAGAAATACTCAGGGAGAGAGAGATACTCAGAGAGAGAGATACTCAGGGAGAGAGAGAGAGATACTCAGAGAAAAAGAAGGGAACTTCTGGGTTGCTTCCATCACAGATCCTCAACACTATATACAGTACTGCTTTGATATAATTCCTGATCTTCAATTAACATACATATTTCTGCATGGTGCCATATGAAACCAGCCACTTTCTCTCTCTAACTGATGGATACGCCCCAAATAGCCCCTATTCCCTTCATAGTGCACTTTATAGGGAATAGGGGCCATTTGGGACTCGACACTGATCTGGGGCAGATACGACCGCAGCACATCACACTGTGAAAGAAAGAGAGAGAGAGAGAGAGAGAGAGAGAGAGAGAGAGAGAGAGAAGGGAGAGGTGGTGTGTGTGTTGTTGTGTGTGTGGTGTGTTGGTTGTGTGTGTGTGTGTTTGGTGTGTGTGTGTTGTGTGGTTGTTGTTGTGTGTTGGTGGTTGTTGTTGTGTGTGTGTGTGTGTGTGGTGTGTTGTGTGTGTGTTGTTGGTGTTGTGTGGTGTTGGTGTGTTGTGTGTTGTGTGTTTGGTGTTGGTGTTGTGTGTTGTGTTGGTGTGTTGGTGTGTTGGTGTGAACTGCGTGTTTGGTGTTGTGGTATGTGTTGGGAGTTGGTGGAGTGGGTCTGGTGTTAGTTTCGGTGGCGGTACTAGTGGGTCACCATAGTGAGATTGTCTAACTCACGATATCTACTCCAATGCCACATACAGACATCTCGACGTAACATCTCTAGCAACTTACTATCATCTCCCATTTGTGTGGTGTGTGGTGTGGTTGTGAGTGTTGGTGTGTGTTGTGTTGGTGTGTTGGTGTGTGCTGTGTTGGGTGTGTGGTGTTGGTGTGTGTGTGTTGGTGTGTTGGTGTGTTGGTGTGAAACTGCGATGCTTTGAGGATGTTGATGGCATATTGGCATGTGGAGAAGTGGAGGGACGGAGAGGCAGTCTGGTGCTTAAGATCTCATCAGGACATGGCCAGGCACAGATGGTCACACACACACACGCTCGCATGCATACACACACACACACACACACACACACAC